CCCCCCTGCCCGGAGGAGCCCAGCCGCCTGGCCGGCCGTCCCGGTGGCCGTGGCCGTGGCCCCCGGGGGCGGTTGTCTCTGTAAGCGAGGTGCGCCCTCTTCCCTGGCAGGCGGCGTGGGTTCTTGCAACAACTTGGCACGCACGGAGGCTGGGGCACGGCCTCGCTCGCTGTGTGGCATGCAGCCACCACCCCTGCCCACACTTGGCATACGTGGGGGGAGTTCACCCCCAGCTCCCCATCCTCCCCTCCCTCCACCCCCAACTCACCGAGAACGTTCCTCTGGCCTCGCTCTTTGGCTCTTTGTCCGTGAGGCCAGTGCCAGAGGGTCCCCCAGGGCCTTCCAGGGGGCAGCCTCAGGCTGGTCGTTCCCGGGGACCATCTTGGGGCTGGGCCGGGGAGAACCGGCTTCCGCAAGGCGACCAGGCCCGTCTGCAGGCAGGTTCGGTGAGGCGGCAAAAGCCAAGACACCTGGGCGTGATCCTCTCGGTGTCTGATGCCAAACACCTGCACGTTATAGTGAGGGCGACGGAGCGGGATTCTTACGGGGGGGGGGGGGGGGGGGGGGGGAGAGAGACGCAGGAGACACAGGCAAGCAGCCCCGGGCATCTGTGGAGCCAGGAGCCCCCAGCACACACACCCCCCTCCCAGGGCGGAGCTGACCAAATACTGTAGCTCCGGGGAGGGGTATGGTCTCCCGGATTCAGAACTGAGCGACAGGAGAGGGTGCAGAACGGCCGTCGCTCCTGCTGGGTGTCACGCTCGCTGCTGGGGGAGGCAGGGCGGCCCTCCCGGCCGGTGCCCAGCCCCGCGACCACCCTCAGGCCCCGCACCGGCCTGTTGCCGAAGAGGGGAGCTGCCCCAGGGAGGACGGGGCGTGGCGTAGGGGGGACTGAGCGCTCTCTCCTCCCAGCCCCGCCTGCTGCCATCCCAGTTGGAGCCAGTGGCCTCCTGAGCGACACTGTGTCCCAAAATAGTGTTCTGAGTGTGCCCTGTCCTTACTGGCAATTATGGGGGGGAGGTTAAGGGGGGAGTGCGATCAGCTGGATCTACTGGGAAGTCCTCGGGGACCAGTCAGGAGATTGAAAAGCACACGGCTCTGTCCACAGAGGGATCTTGGCCTAGCCTAGCAGGGTCTCCCAAACTTATTTTTTTTTTAATATATTTTATTGATTTTTCACAGAGAGGAAGAGAGAGGGATAGAGAGTTAGAAACATCGATGAGAGAGAATCATCCATCAGCTGCCTCTTGCACACCCCCCACCAGGGATGTGCCCGCAACCAAGGTACATGCCCTTGCCCGGAATCGAACCCGGGACCTTTCAGTCACACAGGCCCACCACGCTCTATCCACTGAGCCAAACCGGTCTCGGCTGTTTCCCAAACTTTTTGACATAGGTGTCCCCCTTCTATCATTTCCGTGACGCTGAGGACCCCTCGTCCTCATGAGGACGTAGAATGAGGCGCCGCTAAGCACAGTGCAGGGCGCATCCCCACCAAACTCCGGTGCAACGCGGACCCCCACCAGACTCTTCCCCCGGTACCCCCGGGGGTCCGCGGACCACACTTTGGGAAACAGTGACCTAGGGGACGGCACACAGCTGCAGGCGGTGGTTTCCACCCCTGGGGCCGGAGGACAAAAGGAAGAGGCTTGGGGGCCCCAGGCCATGAGGATGGCCCCGGGCCTGGCTGGTCTCAGTGCTTCTGAGTGGCACCAGCCATGCTTGGGGGGTGGGGGGAGAGGGTGATGGGGGAGGGGAGACAAGGGCCACTGTCGGGTGGTGGTGTTGGGAACAGAGACAGCCTGGGGCCCATCCAGCGTGGCTCAGCGGTGGAGCGTCGCCCTGTGAACCAGGAGGTCACAGTTCAATCCTGGGTCGGGGCCCAGGCCCAGGTTGTGGGCTCCATCCCCAGTGTGGGGCGTGCAGGAGGCAGCCCATCCATGATTCTCTCTTGTCATTGATGTTTCTCTCTTCTCTCTTCTCTCTATTCCTCTCTGAAGTCAAATCAAAATATATTTAAAAGAAAAAAGAGAAACAGCCAAAACCGGTGTGGCTCAGTGGGTAGAGCGTCGGCCTGCGGACTGAAGGGTCCCGGGTTCGATTCCGGTCAAGGGCATGGACCTTGGTTGCGGGCACATCCCCAGTGGGGGTGTGCAGGAGGCAGCTAATCAATGATTCTCTCTCATTGATATTTCTAACCTTCTATCCCTCTGTTTCGCTCTGTAAAAAATTAATAAAATATATTTTTTTTTTAAAAAAAAGAAAGAAAAAAGAGAAACAGCCTGGAGACAGAAGGTACACCCGTGTGCGCCTCCAGCTCTCCCTCTTCCGTCTAGTGCCCCCTAGTGGCGGAGTCCAACAGGGAGCCCGGTGACCAGAGAAAAAGGCTCTGCAGAATCCCAGCCCCTCTGCCCAAGGTTGGCTTTATCAGGGGCACAGCTGGCACTCAAGGCCCCTAACTCCTGGCTGCATGCTCACCCACCGGCAATTAGCCTGACTGGCCTCTTTAAACCCCGTTTCCCCCATGCCCTCTCCAGCCTCCGTTCTTCCATCCTCGTTGCATTTGTTGCATCTCAGCACTCGGCTGAGACGTGTTTGCTCCGCGTTCTGGAAGCTTCCGTGGCTTGCTCCAGAACCTTCAGCGAGACGTGCATGTTCCACCCAATGCACACCCCGGAGCTGGAGGCCGCCCGCTTTACCCCTTTAAGAAGAGGCAGGTTTTCCCCGTTCCCGGGGCCCACCCCACCCCTCCCGCCCGGCGGCATCTGAATCCTGAGCTAATCCCTTTGCACGCGGGTAATTTATTGGCCTATTGGGCTTTTCTTGGTGGCAAATTGCATTGTCTCTATTCCCGGGTTCGGGCTGCAGAGCGGAGCGGCTCACCGAATTCCTGGGGCTCCTTTCTCAGGCCCCGTCCCTCCCGGCCCCTCTGCGCACAGCAGAATACGTTTTATTGGGCTCCTTTGTCATGCAAACGAGACGGTCATAATAAGGCTATTCTCCGAGATTGGGCTTGATGAACGGCTCAGAGGAGGGCTCAGAGGAGTAAATATTTTCATCTCCCGGTGCAGCCCGTGCTCCCAGCTCCCTGCCTCCCTCTTTCTGAGCGAGAGGCGCTGGGTTTGCTATGAAAAGGCCCAGAACAAAGCCGTCTGGAGCCCACCTCCTCCGGCGGAGACATGTTACATACGTGGCATGCCGTGGAGCGTGAGGCGTGCGGGGGCCGAGGGTTCCAGGGCAAAAATGAGGGCTCTGCCAAAACCGGTGTGGCTCAGTGGATAGAGCGTCAGCCTGCGGACTGAAGGGTCCCGGGTTCGATTCCGGTCAAAGGCATGTTCCTTGGTTGCGGGCCCATCCCCAGTGGGGGGTGTGCAAGAGGCAGCTGGTCGATGTTTCTCTCGCATCGATGTTTCTGACTCTCTATCCCTCTCCCTTCCTCTCTGTGGAAAATCAATAAAATATATTTTAAAAAAAATAAAATTAAATTTTAAAAAAATGAGGGTGCTCAGGGCGGGAGGGGGCTCCGGAGCCAGGGTGTCATGGGTGAGACAGGTCAGCCGGCCCCACCAAGTGGCGAGGGGGTGAGGCCGGGAAAGATGGCCACTGACACTGAGGGCTGCCTTCAGGATATACAGGATGCAACGTTTTTCTGGGCGGTTCTGCAGAAGGATGGAGCTCTCACCCCCTGAAAGTCCTTGGGAGGCAGATGTGGGCCCACAGCTGGAGATGCCGAGGGGGCAGCCCCACTCTGGCCCAGTTCCGTGCTGCAGTGGGCAGATGCCTGCGGGTGGAAAGCAGTGACCTCTGACCCCAGGTTCTGATGCTTGGGGCGCATCTCGAGAAGCCGACAGGGAGGTTGGTCCCAGAGCGATCGATTAGGCCCGCGGTCGGCAGACTGCGGCTCGCGAGCCACACGCGGCTCTCCGGCCCCTGGAGGGTGGCTCTTCCAGAAAACACCACGGCCTCTGGCGCGTCTGTGTTGAAGACGTGGCGTTAGGAGACGTTTGACTTTAAAAGATGCTTCTCTCCAAAGACACGTCTGTCGTTGCGCCGCTGATACCTGGCTCTGTGGACTCCTGAGTTTGCCGAGCGCTGGGTCAGGCTCTCGCTGAAGCCGATGGCGCAGAGGAGGGCGCTGTGTGGCCCTCGCCGCACACGTCGTCAAGAGCAGAGGGGTCTGACACCTGCCAGGGGTTCCCTCCAGCCCCAGCAGGTCTGGGGGGCCTGCCTGCGCCCCGCCTGGGGTCGGTGCAGCCTCTGGATTCTCCTCTGCTTGTCCCCCCGTCGCTCATCATATTTTATAGATTTTCCACAGAAGAGGAAGGGAGAGGGATAGAGAGCTAGAAATGTCGATGAGAGAGAAACATCAACCAGCTGCCTCCTGCACACCCCCTACCGAGGATGTGCCCGCAACCAAGGTCCATGCCCTTGACCGGAATCGAACCTGGGACCCTTCTGCCCGCAGGCCGACGCTCTACCCACTGAGCCACACCGGTTTCGGCCCCCTCTGTGACTTCTAAACAAACCTGAGTCTTGGCTCTGAATTCTTTCTTCTCCTCCAGCCCCCCACCCCTCTTTCTTTCTTTCACATTTTTAAAAAAATATATTTTACTGATTTTTTTTTATTTTGATTTTTTTTTTACAGAGAGGAAGGGAGAGGGATAGAGAGTTAGAAACATCGATGAGAGAGAACCATCGACCAGCGGCCTCCTGCACGGCCCTCCACCTGGGGATGTGCCGGCAACCAAGGCCCATGCCCTTGACCGGAATCGAACCGGGCGGGGGACCCTTCCGTCTTCAGGCCGGCCGGCTCTACCCACTGAGCCACACCGGTTCCGGGGCGGATGGTGGTTTTTTTTTTTTTTTTTTTTTTTTTTAATTTCAGCATCTGGGTTGGGGCACGTGTTTGCAGAGTGAGTGAGTGGGTGGCGAGGATGGATGCCCAACCCTGACGGCGTGTCCCTTGCTCTCCCCACCCCACCCCACCTTCACCCCCGCAGCCGCCTCCCCCTGCAAGATCCTCAAGTGCAACTCTGACTTCTGGAGCGCCACGGCGGGCGGCCCCTCGCCGGCCTCCTCGGACGACCCGGCGCCCGAGTTCTGCGCGGCCCTGCGCACCTACGCGCTGTGCACGCGGCGCACGGCGCGCACCTGCCGCGGCGACCTGGCCTACCACTCGGCCGTCCATGGCATCGAGGACCTCATGGGCCAGCACAACTGCTCCCGGGAGGGCCCCACGGCGCCGCCGCGCCCGCGCACGCCGCCCGCGCCGCCGCCCGCCGCGCCCGCGGGGCCCGGGGACAGCCAGGAGCGCGCCGACAGCCCCGAGGTGTGCCACTACGAGCAGCGCAGCGGCCCCCGGCGCGCCAACTACACGCACTGCGGCCTGTTCGGGGACCCGCACCTGCGCACCTTCACCGACCGCTTCCAGACCTGCAAGGTGCAGGGCGCCTGGCCGCTCATCGACAACAACTACCTGAACGTGCAGGTCACCAACACGCCCGTGCTGCCCGGCTCGGCCGCCACCGCCACCAGCAAGGTGAGGGGGGGGGCCGGGGCTGGGGCGGGGATGGGGCTGGGGATGGGGCTGGGGCTGGGGATGGGGATGGGGATGGGGATGGGGGTGGGGGTGGGGGTGGGGCTGGGGCTGGGGCTGAAATTGAGGCCCAGGATGGGGCTGAGATTGAGGATGAGGCTGGGGCTGGGGCTGGGGCTGGGGCTGGATCAGGGCTGGTGCTGGGGCTGGAGCTGGGGATGGGGATGGGGATGGGAATGGAGATGAGGCTGAAATTGAGGCGGAGGATGGGGCTGAGATTGAGGCCGAGGATGGGGCCGGGGCTGAGGATAGGGCTGGGGCTGGGGCTGAGGTTGGGGGTGGGGCTGGGGCTGGGGCGGCCTGTGGGGTCCCATCGCCCAGGCCCTGCAGTCAGGGAGGGGCCCAGACTCAGCCCCCTGCCCCCTCAGAGGCCTCCTGCACCCACCGTGTTCTCGTTACTTTTCGGAAACGAGCAGATCACTTACAAGCAACGTTCTAGAGCACATGTGTCAAACACAAGGCCTGGGGGCCAAATCCGTCCCGCCAGGCCTTGCAATGTGGCCCGCACCGCGCTGTCATCACTGCACTCCGCTGCGTTTCCATCACAATGACAGTTTATGACTGTTCAGTAAACCATTCGGCCCGCGATTTAGGCTGGATTTTAGAGTTTGGCCCCTTCTCTGATTGAGTTCGACACCCCTATTCTAGAGAGTCTTAATGTTGCCTAGAGTGCGGGGGTTTCTCAAAACGCTGGCCACCAGCCACCCCTCGGGGCTGGTGAAATCGGCTTTCTGGGGGGTCAGAGCCGTCGGGCAGGAATCGATGTATAGGGTCGTTTCCTTGGGCGTAACCCGGCGCGCCTAACGCACTGTACGTGGTGAGGGTGAGCGCGGGAGGGGGCCTGGTTTCCGTAGCGCACGTGTGTGCACACGTGTGTATGTATGTGTGTGTGTGCTCACGTGTGCACCCCCGTGGCCCAGGCGGTGGGACAGCCCGTCCGCTGCGGGTTCGCCTCCCGCCCTCACCGCCGGAGGGTGTCCTGTGGCCAGGGGCTCGGTCCAGCCCCCTCAGGGCCGGTCCCCCCGGGAAGGACATGCTGCCAGGGCGCCAGGCTGGCCCACAAGGGTGCCGGGCTGCCCCTGCCCCCCCCCACTGTCCCTCCTTGTCCTATGCCAGCGGGCACTCCCTCCTGGGCCTCTTCCTGAGGCCAGCCCCCTGCTGGGCAGGACATGAGCAGGTCTCTGCCCCACAGAGGCCCTGCCAGGCGCCCGGCCTCCGGCCCTGAGGTGGCAGCCGACGTGTGGCCGGCTTGGCCTCTGACCTGTCCCCCTCCCAGCCCTCCGAGGACCAAGGGGGGACCGACCACGTCAGGACCCCCCTCCGCCTTCTCTGCAGCCCCTTTGCCCCCTCTGAGCAGGGCCTCCGGGGAAGGCCTGGCAGCCTGTGCCCTGAGCACGCTGTGTCCCCCCAGGCCGGGAGAGGCCGGCCGCAGAGCCCGGCCGAGGGGTTGGGGGCAGCCCCGAGCCCCCCCTCCCCCGGGAGGAAGCAGAGCCAGGCTGAGGGGCACCGGGGGCTTCTGCCTGACCCTCCTGTCCCCACGTGACCCCACTCCCCTCCTGCCTGCCTCGGTCCGGGGGGGGGGGGGGGCCCTTGCTCGTTGCCATGGCGATGGCATCATCCACTGGACCATCCTCTGATCTGGTGAATAACCAGAATCTGGGCCGTTTCAGCCAACTTCCCACCCCCTCCCCAACCCCCCCCCCCCATGGGCGTGCCTCCACGCCTCCTCTCTTCCCACCGGTGCCAGCTGCACCCATTTCGCAGGCCGGCAAACTGAGGCTGCTGGAGCAGAGGATCTCGAGGTCCCTGCCTCCCACCCCCTCTCCCCGTCGCACTCACCATTCTGCCTCTGCCTGATCTGTGAGGGCCCCCCCCCTCCCAGATGTGGCCTCGGTGGGGACACGGCCCCGGTGCCGGGCCTGGCGTGTGCGGGCGGGCGGGCGCTGCGTGAACAGACGTGGGTGAGGCCAGGCTCTGCCCGTCTCCGGCCCGCTGACGGCGTGCCCCCGGCTCTCCGCGGGCCCCGGCGTGCCGCTGCTTGTGGTTGAGGCCTGGCACCGGTGCCAGGGAGAGGCAGGCGGCCTGTCAGCCCTCCAGGAGACCGTCTCCGCCGACGGACGGATGGCGGCTAAGGCAGAACCGGCCTTTCCTGTTCGGGGAGACGGCCCGGCCCCCCACCCAGTGTCTGTGTGGCCCTGAGCGCATGGGCAGGGACCCCGGAGTCCCTCCCCCGAGCGGGACCCCCCACCGCCCGGACCACCCTGGCGGGCCCGCCTCGGGGACCCCTGCCGGCGGCCTCCCTCAGGGCAGGAGCCCGGACGGAGCGGAGAGGGGGGCGCTGGAGCTGCAGCTTCCTAGGGTCCGAGGAGGAGGAGGGGGAGGGCTCGGAGCAGGACGGAGTGGCGGGGGCCTCCTCTATGGTCCCACAGCACCCACAGAGCACCAGGGGCCGTTATTCAGCAAATGACAGCAGATAAATGACCGTTAGTGTTTCATTAGCTGTGCTTTTGTTTTTTACGGTTCATTTTTCTATATGGTTTTATATACATATATATAGTTATATATCAATAGTTAATGAGCTGCGGGGTTTTCTAGAGTCATCATCTAAAGTCCCTATTCTAGCCGGGACCGGTTTGGCTCAATGGATAGAGCGTCGGCCTGTGGACTGAAGGGTCCCAGGTTCGATTCCGGTCAAGGGCATGTAGCTTGGTTGCGGGCACATCCCCTCAGTGGGGATGGTGCAGGAGGCAGCTGATGGGTGATTCTCTCTCATCGATGTTTCTAACTCTCTATCCCTCTCTCTTCCTCTCTGAAAAAAAAAAAAAATCAATAAAATATATTTAAAAAATAAAAAAAAAGTTCCTATTCTAAGTCAAATATATATTTGACTTAGAATATATAGAACATATATATAAATTGGTTTCAGAGAGGAAGGGAGAGGGAGAGAGAGAGAAACATCAGTGATGAGAATCATGGACCGGCTGCCTCCTGAACACCCCCACGCTGGGGATGGAGCCCGAAACCTGGGCCTGTGCCCTCCACCGGGATCGAACCTGGGACCCTCCGCCCCCAGCGGGCGCTCTGTCCACTGAGCCGAACCGGCTGGAGCCTGAGTCCATTTTTTTTTAGAGTAAAAAGAGGAAGCTGTTTTAAGTGAAAATATTAACAGTGCAGCTGGTGCGGATCTAGGGCCAAAATTTGGAAGGGGCGGCATCTGAGAGCATCCTGAGCCTTGCGAGCATGGGGCTGGGTCTCCCCCCGTTCACGCACAGGCACGCACACGCACGCACACGCATGCACACGCATGCATGCATACACACGCACACATGCACACGAGCGCGCGCATGCACACACATGCACACGCGCACGCACACACACCTGCCGTCCCCGCCCCGCCTCACCCCTCTCTCTCCCCCCCCTCACGCCCGCCCCCTCCCTCCCTCCCTCCGTCCCCCCGCAGCTCACCATCATCTTCAAGAACTTCCCGGAGTGCGTGGACCAGAAGGTGTACCAGGCGGAGATGGACGAGCTGCCGGCCGCCTTCGCCGACGGCTCCCGCAACGGCGGCGACCAGCACGGCGCCAACAGCCTGCGCATCACCGAGAAGGTGTCGGGCCGCCACGTGGAGATCCAGGCGCGCTACATCGGCACCACCATCGTGGTGCGCCAGGTGGGCCGCTACCTCACCTTCGCCGTGCGCATGCCCGAGGAGGTGGTGCGCGCCGAGGAGGAGCAGGGCGGCGGCCAGGGCCTCTACCTCTGCCTGCGCGGCTGCCCCCGGAGCCAGCAGATCGACGTCCAGCCCCTCGGGGGGCCGCCGGGGGCCGCGGCCGGCTCTGCGCCTGCGCCTGCCGCTGCCGCAGCCCCAGACACCTTCCCCTACGAGACGGCCGCGGCCAAGTGCAAGGAGCGGCTGCCGGTGGAGGACCTGTACTACCAGGCCTGCGTCTTCGACCTGCTCACCACGGGCGACGCCAACTTCACGCTGGCCGCCTACTACGCGCTGGAGGACGTCAAGATGCTGCACTCGGACAAGGACAAGCTGCATCTGTACGACAGGACGCAGGAGGCCCCCGGCCGGGCGGCCGCGGCCATGGGGCCGATCCCGGCCTCCCGGCTGCTCCTGGGAGGCCTCCTGCTCCTGGGCCTGCTGCTCCCCGTGCTCCCCGGGGCCCCGGCTGCCTAGGAGGAGGGAGAGCCAGGCCCCTGCAGGAGGGCCGGGCTTCCCCCCGCCCCCCCCAACCCCCGGTCGCCTGGCCGGTGAGCGTGGGGCGCTGACTCGGGCTGCTGCTGCTGCTGCTGCTGCTGGGGCTGGGGCTGGGGCTGGGGCTGGGGCTTGGGGGGCCCCCTCGCCCTCCCAACGGGCTGTGGTGGCCCGCTGGTGCTGGACAGTGCGGCTGAGTGATAGGAGGAGCCGCCCCCCCCTGCCCTGCCCGCCCCACCACGGACACGGGGGAGGTCACGGCAGCGCCCCGCGATGCACTGAACGCCCCGCGATTGCTGCACGCACACTCACACGAGCACACTCGCGCACACTGAGCCGGCCGGGCCCACAGGCAGGGGGCCGCTCCCCCACCTTTCCCCCGGGGTCCCCGGGGTCCCCCCGCCCCCCCCGGACGGTGCGTGTTGGCACGTGCTCAGAGCGATGCCACTCACGGGCTTGGATGCCCTTATCTGGTCCCTCCCCCCTCCCTGTGTCCCTCTCCCCCACCCCACCCCCCCCACTGTGCTTAGGAAGTCGAGTTGAGTTTCTAAACGTCCACACACACACAGAACTAACTACCCTTTGACTAATGATCCTTCCCGCCCAGCAGGTGGCAGGGGGCTGGGGGCGCGGGGCCCCTGGGGGGGACGGGGCCGGCTGGCCTGCCCTGACCCTCTGCCCGCCGCTCCCCTCTCCTCCGTCCACCCCGGTCTGCATCCCGCACCCGGGGCCCTTCCCCTGAGCCTCTGGGCCACACAGCCTGGGAGACCTCCGGCTGGGAGCCCAGACCGGTTCTCCCCTCTGCTGCTGCTCCAGGGACCCCCGCCCGCCCGCCCGACCGCCCGTCCGTCCTCCGGGCTCCTCTGGCCAAGGTGCTGCCGGGCCCCGGGGGCGGGAAGGGGGGTATCCTGCCAGGCGCCCCGCGGCCCCCCCGCCCGCCCCCTGCTGTCCCGGGACCTCTCATACACTGGTCCAGGAGGCTGCGGACCCGTCCCGCCTCCCCCTCCGAGGTCCCCTCTCTGCCAACCCCCCTCCCCCCCCCCCCCGGCGGGCGGGCAGGGGGGCAGGAGGCCCCGCTGGCCCTCACACAGCCCCTGCGCTGGAAGGAAGAAGTGAAGCACTTTATTTTGGGTTGTGTTTGCTCTCGCGTTCTGCTTGGAAGCGGGGACACCCATTCCCCCCCCACCCACCCACCCACCCACCCACCTCCTCGCCGTGTCCCCGTGTCCGCGGCCTGTACATACTGTAAATTATTTATTAACGGCTACCTGCAAGTAAAGTTTGGGTGTGTTTTTTTTTTTTGTTTTGTTTTGTTTTGTGACTTCCCTTTGGACTTGCGTGTCGGGGGGGGGGGGGGTCTGTTTTTTTCTGGATGACGGATGCGTTTGCGGGGTGCAGAGCCGACGTGGGTGGGTGGGTGGTGCGTGTGCCCTGACTGTGTTTGGGAGAGAGTTACTGTGTGCGTAGCGTGTGCACGCGTGTGCACGCGTGTGCGTATGCATGCCTGTGCTGTCCGTGTGCGCGGAGGACGTGCCAGGGTCGCCCTACTCCTCTAAAACGACTCTCGATCCCTTACCACGAGCTGTTTGGGGGGGGGGGAGAGAGGACCCTACGGGGTGGTGAGGGGGGCAATACCCACCCGTGTGAGGAGGGCCCAGGCCTGCCCGGAGACCAGGTTCCCTGCGGGCTGTCACTCCGCATCATCCCGTAAAAAACGACACCCGCTGCGCCAGACACACATCCGCGCCCATTTCACAGATGAAGAAACGGAGGCTCGCTGCCAGTGGACCTGCCCAAGACCCCTGAGCAAGGGCGGGGCCTGGGTGTCCGGCCCAGTCCGTTCCTGCTCTCAGCACTCAGCACCCTGAGGCTGAGGGGCCGCCCGGAGACCCGGGGGGGGGGGGGAGAGAGAGAGAGAGAGAGAGAGGAGGAGAGAGAGAGAGAGAGAGAGAGAGAGAGAGAGAAGAGAAAAGAGAGGGGGAGAGAGAGAGAGAGAAAAGAGAGGAGAGAGAGAGAGAGAGGAGAGAGAGAGATAGACAAACACAGAGGTGCTCTAGATCTTTAGATGGAGACCTATAGAGCGCTGAGAGAGATCCTAGCAACCCGCTCTGTGTCCCACCCTCCTCTCTCCACCGCGCCCCCCTCCCGCACCCCTGCTCTGTCCTCTACCGCGCACCTCTCTTACTATCGCCTCTCTCCTCTCCGCTCCCACCTATGTTTTTCGATTCCCCAATCTCCCACTCGCTTTTCCTAGCTCCTTGCCCCCCACCTTCGCTTTATCCTTTCCCTCCTCCCTTCACCCCCCATTTTTTTGCCCCTCTTCCCTCACCCCTTTGTTGTGTTATGTCTTAACGGTTTTCTCGGCCGTGAGTTTTATTTCGTGGTCGAACGAGTATTACCATTACCCGGGGAGGGGGGGGGGTCTCGGGCGGCAGAGGACTTGGCGCTCCAGCTGGCTCTGCCCGCCCGCCGCGCTGTGTGGTCTGCCTGGGGTTCGGGAGGCTTAGAGGCCTCGTTTGTAAAATGGAATTGGGAGGGCCTGCCTCCCAAGGAAGGCCCTTCTGGAAACCCAGTGAGCTCATGCTCTGAACCCGCCTGGCACCTGGGCGCTGGGCGGTCCCCCCCCTCCCCGCCCCGTCTGAGACAACCCTCTCTGGCGACCGCTGGTGCTGGGGGAGGGGAGCAGGCTACTTCCCATCCTCTTATGGAGACAACTCCATAAACAAACGCATGACCGCCGAAGCCGGTGTGGCTCAGTGGACAGAGCGTCGGCCTGCGGACTGAAGGGTCCCGGGTTCGATCCCGGTCAAGGGCATGGACCTTGGTTGCGGGCACATCCCCAGTAGGGGGTGTGCAGGAGGCAGCCAATCGATGATTCTCTCTCATCGATGTTTCTAGCTCTCTCTCCCTCTCTCTTCCTCTCTGTAAAAAATCAATAAAAATATATTAAAAAGAAAATTCCCTTAAAAAAAAAAAAGCGTGAAGGCGAGGGTGGGCCTGCAGCTTGGGAGACTTGGGAGGTTGGCCAGCTGGTGAGGGACCTTGGGAAGGCTCCAGGGCACGTCTGGCCTGGCTCACTCAGTCCCCCGGAGAGGCCTGGGGCTGCCCGCCAAGTGGGAGGGGGCAGAAGCCTGGGCACCCCTGGCTGGAGGGGGGGGGGCGTCCTTCAGTCCTGGGGGGCACAGAGCCCTCCTGCCCGGGTGGCTGAGCCCCAGAGTGGGCTGGGAGTGTGCCCTGGCCTCTGCCCCTCTCCGCGTCCCTGCCCTGCCCTTGGCCACTGCTGCAGAATCAAACACCCAGGCAGGCCATCTGCGGGAGCCTGCTGCCCTCTGCTGGCGGTGTTCTAGAACCACACTCAGGGCATGGAGCTGACGCCCAGACCGCAACAGCCTGCCTTCCCTGTGTCACCCAGGCCTGCCTCCTCCCAGGCCAGCCCCTCCCGCAGTCCGCCCCGCAGCCCCCCACCCACCTCCCCGGTCGGTCCCTCTTCCCTGGACCCTGTCTCACCTGGCCGCTGTCCTTGGCGTCTTGGTTCTGTCTCCACCGTCCTCCGTGGGTGCAGGAGGCGGCTGGTGGGTGTGTCTCTCTCATCGGTGTTTCTAACTATCCCTCTCCCTTCCTCTCTACGAAAAATCAATAAAATATATATTTTTTAAAAAAACAAACCCCTCATGAACCACAGAACCAGAGTCACAGAAGCATGGGACAGAGGGAGTAAGAGATCAACCCAAGGACTTGGATGCAAGCTTGCGAGCATGAGCAATGGACACAGAAAGGAGAGGGGGGGGGGGGGGCAGCTGGGGAGAGGTCAATGGGGGTGAGGGGGGGGGGAAGGAGACTTATGTAATCATTTAAACAATAAAGAATTCCATTTTTTTTTTTAATTAAAAAACCAAAAAACCCTCATGGAACCTAGAAGCTGCCTCCTGCGTGTTTGCAAATGCCGACAAGGCCATCGGCCCAGCCAGGCACGCACAGGGAGGGACCACATGGGACCTCTCACAGCCCTGTGCCCCCCCCCCCCCAGGGTCCATGTGGTCAGCGAGACCCGAGCTTCCTTAACGGGTTAACGGCCGTGCACTCTTCATTCACAAAAGAAGGGGAGGACGGAGGACCTCTGTAATCTTCCCAACAATAAAGAGATTTATTTTATTTATTTGTTAAAATGGCTAAAAAAACAAACACACACAGAGACCATGCGTGTGACCCCTCCAGGGGCCGCTGGCCCTGAGCAGCCGATGATTCTTCTTCTGTCTTGGAGGCGAGAGGCCCAGGCCATGGGCTGGTCCACATTCCCACACGAAAGCCAAGGTCACATGGCCATGGAGCAGGGGGGGGGGGGTCTTGGGGGGCCCAGGTCTCTGCAGGGAAGAGGGCCAGGCCTTGGGGCCCTGCTCCTTTAAGAGCTGCAGTCCTCCGGGCTGGGCTGGCACAGGGCAGGGCCCTGCATGTCGCTCGGTGACCTTTCTGTTGGCACAGGAGGGCCTGCGTCCATGCCAGACGTGCGAGGCCCGGCCCGGAGCGGAGGGGGGAGGCAGGGAGGGCGTGTGGGGAGCCCGCTGCTTCCAGGAAAAGGCGGGCGTTCCGGGCACTGGCAGGAGTCCTCCGTTGCTTATTGCAAATCCTCACAAGCCGACGACGACGGCGGCAGCACTTGTCCTTAACGCTGCGGATCGCAACGCGCCCGGAGGTTATCGGCGGGAAGGACATCACTCACCTCTCCTCCCCCCACCGTCTTGTATTTTTTTTTTTTTCCTCTTTTTTTCTATCCTCACCCGAGGATATTTTTCCCATGGAAGAGGGAGAGCAGGAGACAGAGAGAAACATCGATGGGAGAGAGATGACACATGGACGGGTTGTCTCCTGCAGGCGCCCCAGGCCAGGACCCAGGCCACGGGGGAGGAGCCTGCTGCCACCGAGGGACGTAGTACGTTCCCTCGACCGGAATCGAACCCGGGTCCCTTTGGTCTGCAGGCCGACGCTCTATCCACTGAGCCACACCGGCCAGGGCTTCTTGGGAAGTCTTTCGCTGAAGAACTTAACATGCAGTTAAACCAAACCCCCGGCTCTCCTCCGAGCCCAGGCCCTGCGCTCGCCGCCAGGTCTCCTGGGCGTAGCGAGGAGGACGAGTGCCACAGAGATGAGGGGGTTGGTGTCCAGGTCCCTGAAGTATCAGAACCCCCCTCCTCCCCCGCACCCCAGTCTGGCAGGCTCCTAGCCCCCACTCGGCCGGGATCCCCGCCCGTCTGGGCCCCGCCGGCCGGCGCTGGGTGCCAGATTGCTCCGGCTAACATTGGTGTCAGTGTTTCCGTGATAAAACGCTCGCTCTCCCTTCGAGAACATACAACCCGACTGTTCGGCTGCCCTCGGGGCCGGGCTGCGGACTGGCAGGCGCTGTGTTTTGGTTTCCTACGGAGGGGCTGGGGGACGCCTGTGGACAGGCCCCTGGTCACCTGCAGGGCCCCCCCCCCCCAGGCCAGGCCATCTCACCGAGGGAGGGGTGCAGGCGACCATCGAGGGCTGCTCAGAGGCTGACAGCCTTGGCCACTCGGAAACCCACGATGTGCGGTCTCAGCCCCACCAGCAGGGGGCGCTGTGCGGGGACACACACACACACACACACACACACACACACACGTGTGAAAGGCTCCAGGTCGTGCCGTCCAACAACCCGCACGACCGACCGACCGAGGGGAGGGGGGAGAAGGTGCGGCCCAGGCCCCACCAGGGCACCCCGACGCAATGCATCATGGTCGTCCGGGTTCTCAAAAAATCCCAGGGGACCCCCTTGTCACGTCCCAAGAAACCAGAAGTGCAGCCGTGTGACAATGTAGGAAAAATTTTTTAATACATACTCTATAAACAACATTATGTACATCGGAAATCACCAGGACTGTGTGGCATTTCTCACAAATATAAATTAATTACTGTTGAGTCAACAGGTTTGAAAAGTCCACAATTTTACAAGGGGGGAAAAAAAAAAAAAACACACCGCCTGTCCCCCCAACAAAAAGGGGCGCAGGCGGACTAAGCAGCCTGGACTGCAACCCCCTGATACCCCGGGAGCCTGGGCCGGGTTTGGTCTGCGGGGTTTCCCGATGAGGCCATCAGACACCGGCGGGGGGTGGGGAGGGGGCGTTCAGTGTTGGGGGGCCCGCCTGCAGCGGTCTCGGAGCGACAGGAGGGGGATCTGGGCCATCAGGAGGTCCCACCCCCACCCCGAGGGGCCTGGCTGTCTCTCCGGGGACTG